TCCACTGTCCATTTCTTTGAGAAAATCTCATTATCTGTATGACGCGGGACAAGTTGCTTATTCAACTTTTGGTCCATAGGGTGGTTGCCATTTTGCTTTATCTCTGTGGACATGATTAATCATTAACACTGTTATTTCCTTGACAGTGTTTTTGCTTTGAGGAACAGAGGCTGAATCCACATGAACAGGTTAGACCAAATGTTCGCTAACGGGACTGAAAAAGAGTAAATTAATGTGACATCTCTCCATTTTAAAGGAGTTCAGTCACGGTTTGCACATTTTGAAAAGTTTAGCCTAAACTTTTCAAATTCGTCGTTTGCAATCCGTGTCAATCTTCGCCATCCTTGACCATCCTTGTTCCTTTATGGTTTATTATTATCTCTTTGATGGTTTTCTATCTTAGTGAACTATTATTTTAAGGTTTCGTTCCATTTAAAGGAGGTTTTGTACGCGGCCAAAGAAAAAGACAACACACCGTGACTAAGCTCCTTTAATGATCTTCGTAAGAAAATCCTTCAGACTCAGTCTTGACCGCTATAACTTTAATTTGTACTTATTGAATGGTAATTTTGGGAGCACATGCGACAGGAGACAAGTTCGGGAGAACATGCAACAATCAGCAGGTGTAGGAAGACCTGAAACTGGCAGCAGATGAGAGAAAGATCGTGTAACTATCTCGTGGTTGATCTAGTCTTACACCTTACAGTGGAACCCCGCCTTACGACCATCCCGTTAACACGGTCACCTTGTTATTACGGCCACTTTATTCTGGCCGGAAAAAAGGCTCATTCAGTCATTTTCTTATTCAAAGAACCCCTTTAATACGGCCAGATTTTTTATGGTCCGTTGGTGACCAGGTTAAGGGGTTTACGGTCACTTCGTTCCATGGTCACTTCGTTCCAACCACTTCGTTTGTATCGGATCGACTTAAGATGTGTATCAAATCGACTTTGCATGTGCTCGAGATATAACGAAACGACAAAACGACCGGATACCAGACAGTCCAAGGGCTCTATCCGCTAAGGTGTTTAGTAGCTTTGTAAGATTAGAAGTTTACTTGCTTAGTTTGTAAGATTAGAAGTTTACTTGCTTAGTTTCCCCTTGGAAGGAAGTGACTATTCTTTGGAAGGAAGTGACTATTCTTTGGAACGAAGTGACCCTTTGATGGAACGAAGTGACCAACGGATGGAACGAAGTGACCATGGAACGAAGTGACCGGATACCGGTTAAGGGGGTCCCACTGTATTAGCAAGGATTGGTTAAAACTCGGATTTCACGAGCAAACCAGCGTACATGTATAATTACACTTATTAACATTTTTGAGTGTCTGCCTCATTTCAGACATGCAATTGATCTTGGTGATTTGTTGCCAGGTTGATATGCCAGTGTTCTTCTACATCGATCCAGAATTTACGGAGGACCCAGCCATGGTTAAAGTGGACATCATTACTCTCTCGTACACGTTTTTCGAGGCAAAAGAAGCCGAGAAGCTTGGTTTATAGAAGTATCAGTGTGACAGAGTATATAAAGAAAGTTAATTTGATATCCCGCTATCAGACGTAAAACGGCCGTGAAACACAAACGAGATGCTTTGTTGTTTTTTGTGCCTTGTTTTCCTCATCATTCCTCTCCTTATCTACTGAGTCGCTGTTAGTATGTAAGGGTTAACTTTCTGTATGCGGGTAAAGCACACCTAACTTGAAGAGCATTTCTGAAAAAGACTGCTTGTTGGGAACTTGTGTAAACGAGAGGAGAGGAGAGGAGAGGAGAGATACTGAAACGTCTGTCAGACTCACAATGACAAGCTACTGAGAGTGTGAAAATTAACAAAGCTTAACAACAAGAAAATGGGGAAAGTTCATACAGTTAGTGCATTATAACCCTTTTTGTTCCCCAGAGTGACCAACAGTTTATTTTGGCAAATATTTATGATATTATTTTCGCAACAGTCATTCCTGGTGTTATTGTTTACGCATAAATAAACGGTCTTATCAACAGCCCTCTGCTATTAGTTTTGGTGAGTTGTCATTGAAAACAAATGGAAGATTATTGGTCCACGCAACCGTAAGTTACTTTCATTGGATTTTGCTCACGGGCAATAGAGACAACATCCCATCACGTGATTGTTTTGTAGTTGAGATGACTGGCTCCTCCCAGGTCTCCCTCGTCTTCCCTTCTATCGCCAAATGACATACTAGAAAAACAGTCAAAGAGTTACAGTTTTTGATTAAATTTTGACGTATTTTTGACAACTTTTTGCTGGCTTTCTATTTCAACCGGCCAATCAAAACTTGGGAACTGTAAGGGCAAAGATGTCGAATTGTCAAATTCATTATTCGCTTTCGTGAGAATTTCAAAAACCTCAACCTGCAAATATTTGAAACCAGCGGCAACTTGTCACAGTTTATTTGGTCATTTGAAACGGAAGTCAACAGAAGTTGTCACAAACTAATGAAAACGTTCCTTAATGACCACGGCAAGGCGCGTAGCACTGTAATAGACCAATTTCGATATATTAAAATTCATCCTAAAACAGTAGACCTCAGTACGAAGCTCTGAGTTTGTGGGGTTTATTCCCCAGAGCCACGTGCTGAGGTCTATTGTTTAAGGCTGAATTTTAATATCTCGAAGTTGGTCTATTAGTCGATAAAAGCGACTAACCTAGGCGGCGTTGCATACGCAATCTACGCGACCTTTCAGCCCCCGGACAGAGGGGGGACTCCCTTATACAGGGTATATAGGTATGTGCGGTCCCAAAGGGTATGGTTTTCAGCTGTTTTGGTCATAAATAGGGTATCGATTTTGGCCATTTTGGTCATATTATGAAAATAGGGTATGGCTTTTGCCTTCTAGTCTTGAACTGGGTACGTTTTTTTAGAAGAAGCTACTTTTTCAGGTCTTAAATAGGGTAGGGAAAATCGCAGAATAAAACAGGGTAAGGGATTTGGGACTTCCTTACACTTCCGGTTTCTTTAAATGCCAAAGGAAACGCGGTTTTTCATTAAATCGAGCCTTTTTTTGACGAATTTCGATTAAAGCCAACTTTGAAAACAAAGCTATACATTCCTTTTTCGAAATCATGCTTTTTTCAGAAAATTACGAATTTTTCAATATTTTGAAATGCTCTCAAAATCTGACCTTGTAGAAATGAAACAAAATCGATGCATAGCGTAATGAGTATTTAAATTAAAATATTAAATCAATGAAAAAAATCCCGATAAAGTAATTTGCCTGGGAGCCTTTGCATTTTTTCTGTATTAGTCACATGACCATGGGCGTAGCCTGATGACGTCATCACTAGTGTTACTGCTCATGAAAAAGCCAAAAAACATGAAATAACTCTGAACTAACTAAAAATGATGAGGTTATATGAGAATATATTTTCCTTAGCAACGGCTCGAAAAGATCGGTCAATGGGCCCTTAAAGACGTCAATTATTTCTCACCTAGACGCGGACTCGATCGCTAATTATTTGAGTATCTTATGTAATTCGTTCACGGTTGAGGGGAGATTGGTTGCTAGTGAAGTGAGGCACCTAGAATTCATGGACTCCAGTGTTTTTCGCAGGCCAATTTTTTTCTGCGCGACTCAATCTACCTCGTTTCTAATCCTCTCTCGCCCCGAAAAGACTTGAATAGCGACTGGGTACGAGTCTGCAACCCACCCCACAAAATTGACTACCAAAATTTACTTCCAAACTACGGTTCTGTAATCGCCAATTTTAAACCCATGTTATTTATGTACCTTTGAACCATTGGTGAAGCAGCAGATAGCAGCTTACCTTTCGTACAGTGCGTTTTCTGAAGTCTTGTCCTCGTAGTCCTGTGACTATTTGGAGACACTATATAGGTATATCGAAATCAGACTTTTAATGGACCGTATTCGTATTCTCGGTATTGGACTGGAACTAGCTTGCAATGGAGGCTCATGCGGCGAAATATCATTAAAAGGAGATAAATGTTATTTGCATTCGAAAAAAACCCCCGCGTTAGCCTCAGTTGCAAGCTAGTTCCAGTCCAATACCGGGAGTACGCGGAATGTGGCCTATTACCTCTTGCATGCATGTGGGTAAAAGACTCAAAGCGGACATGAACGTACCTATCGTATAGCAGATTCTCTTGTGAAGATGTATCGTCCATGATTTGCCTGAGGAGAAAACGAAAAAAAAAAAAAAGAAAATAAGAGTTGGTTAAAAATTTCAACGAGAGCTTAGTCTAAGAAGCGATGCTAGCTGCTTAAGTATCAATCGGTGACAGTCAAAAGATTGCAATGCATTTCAAACCTAAAGCTCGGTGCTCGATTTTGCCCTTGGCGAACCAAAGGATCACGACAATTTTAGCTGATCGCATTAGTCGACGAAAAATTCCCCAACGTAACGTATGTGATTTCATATTTCAGCCATAGAACAATTGTCCTTAAAACAAGAAAAATACTATTAAGTGGTTCTTTTTGAGAACACGCCTCATACCAACCTGCCAGAACCAAGATCCTCCTCGGTTAAAGACTTTTCAATGTCGCTTCATGCAAAACAAAATAAAGATAAGTAAAGAAGAAGAAGAAAAAAAAGAAAATTAATGATAAAAAAAACAAACAAACCAGCAGATAAACTTGCTAAGAAGTAGGGCTACACAACGTTAATGATAAATTGATTCTTACAGTGGTTAAAACTGAGGAAATGTTACTTTTTCAACTGAACAAACAATAGCAGACGAGTGCATTATGAATGACATTATAAACAGACGATCATGACAACCAACAAAATCATCAACAAGGGAATCCCCCTGTCGTGATCAACCACGGAACTCTCTTACCTAACATTAAACTATCTGTTGCAGATAGTCAGTAGCGTAGCAGTGTGCGCTGGGGGCCGCTTTCCGTTTTCGAATTCACGTTAACCGGAGCGTAGTGATTGGCTCATTACTCAAAGTCGGACTCATTTGACTCGTAAATCAAGGGACCTTGGTCTGTCAGGGCTCAGAAAAATCCAACATACAAATGAACATTTTCTACTCTACTTTATTTACTTTGCAAACCTACTTGACAAGCTACGGCAACGTGACGAAACCTACGTTACAATAGATATCAACCACATCACCCTCAATGCAAAGCTGAGTCTCGCCCAGTAAATATAGAACTTTTCATTTCAAGTTTAACGAACAAGAAACTTCAATGAAAATTAAATGATTTCACACTTTCACTATTGGAAAGATCACTAGACCGGTTTTACTGTAATAACACACCAAGAAATTTTTCAAGAAATGAAAAAATTTAAATCACTACTCTTCAATACTAAAACTAAACTCAAGCGAAAATAAACGCGGGAAACTGTCCTCCCCTTACAGATGTTCCATTAGAGTCAACATCTGATGAAGTAAAAGTGAATCGTACTCCGCCTTTGCATTCAACAGATGCTCGTCCTTCGTCTCCATACCATGAGTTAGGGCCCTCGATAAGAGACACTAACTTGTACTTCTTATTTTCCTGCAAATTAACTGGACGATCAAACTGCACATCAAAACCGTAATATTGATTATTCTCTGACTTGTGATTCTCTGAAGCATAGGATCCTGATTGTTTCACAATAGCCGAGTCATCTGCGCTATCCTTCACTTCTGTGACAACCGTGTACTCGCCAGATCTAGAACCAAATAGCTGAACTCCAAATAAAGTGACGGGCTTGGAGACAGAGAACTGAACACTGTCACGCTTGGAATCACGGTAATGCCAGTTACTATCTGGAAGACAAATCTTGCCAAATCTGTGGCATCGGTATCTAGCGCAGCCAATCCTAGGTTCATGTATGAATGGCAAAGATGACGTTAAAACATCACCGTAGTGTTTCATCATGTCTCCCGCCTCTTTGAGAGTTAGAATATTAGAATCGATTACAACTGAGGCGAACTCCTTCAGTGACATCAGTGGAAACCTTATCGCTTTCACGATCTCTTCTCCCAGAATTCTTCTCTTCACATCGCCTTCAGGAGTTAATCGTTGCCTCTCACTTTCTTTTGTGGCCCAGCGATCAACAGCTTTAAACAGTTCCACTTCCTTCACGTTCAACTTTTCTCTCTTCACAACAGACTCGACTACAGATCGCTCAACTGTAACAAATTCATCTGACGTCACAGTTTCTTCTGTTTGCATCTCGATCACTTCCCAGCATCGATCTTTCAAATCTTTATCTTCAAATTTCTGAGCGTGTGGCAGAATGCAAAACACGTTGGATGCTTTCAAATGGTCACGCAGATATGCGGTACATTTCTCTGCGAGAGAAGGCACCATATATTTGTTCGCTAAGTACAACACTTGCATCACATTACTTCCG